AACATTCTATTTAAAATTAAAGCAGGGCTGGGAATGTGGCTTAGTGGTAGAGTGCTTGCCTAGCATGCATTAAGCACTGGATTCAATTCCTCAGTACCACATCAACAGAAAAATCCAGAAGTGGTGCTGTGTTTCAAGTAGTGGACTGCTAGCCTTTAGCAAAAGAAACTCAAGGACAGTGCCTAGGCCCTGAGTTCCAGGACTGGCAAAATGAAAATAAAAATTAAATTAGGGCTGGAAAGGTGACCCAGTGGTAGAGTGCGTGCCTTGCATGCATGAGGCCCTGGGTTCGATTCCTCAGTACCAAATAAGCAGAAAAGGCCAGAAGTGGTGCTGTGGCTCAAGTAGTAGAGCGCTAGCCTTGAGCTGAAGAGCTGAGGGACAGTGCCCGGGCCCAGAGTTCAGGCCCCAAGACCAGGAAAAAAAAAAAAAAAAAAAATTAAAGGAAATCACCAGGCTCCAGTGGCTCATACCTATAATCCTAGCTACTTAGGAGGCTAAGACCTGAGGATTGTGGTTTGAAGCCAGCTCAGGCAGGAATGTCCATGAGACTCTTCTCTCCAATTAACCAGAAAAAAAGTTAGAATTGGAACCGGTAGAGTGCTAGCCTTAAGTAGAAGACCTCTGGGACAACACCCAGCACTGAGTTCAAGCCCAGTGACCAGCACACACATGAAAAATTTAAAGCAAATCATGTCTTTTTTTTTTGAGTCCAGTTGTGGGGCCTGAACTCTGGGCCTGGGCTCTCTCCCTCAGCTCTTCAGCTCAAGGCTAGCGCTCTACCATTTGCGCCACAGCGCCACTTCTGGCTTTTTTCTTTTTGCTTATGTGGTGCTGAGGAATTGAACCCAGGGCCTCAGGCAGGCAGGGCAAGCATTCTACCACTGAGCCCAGCCCCCATGTCTTTTTTTTTTTCCCAAGTGAGTCTCACCATGTCTCCCAGTTGAGATCTTCTGCTTCAGCCTTGCCGATGCTGGAATTATAGTCATACACCCAGGTATAGAATATAGGACTAGAATTTAGCTGGTGTGATGAGGGAAGGCTTGTATCCCAGTACTTGGGAGGCCGATGCAGAAAGATTGTTAGTTTAAAGGTAACCTAGCCTATATAGTTGTTTCTAGAACAGCTTAGGCACATAACAAGACCCAATCTCAAGCCCCTATCGTATAACTTGTACAAACAAAAGTATTAAAAAAAAAAACACTAACAGGCCAGACACTAGTGGCTCAAGCCTGTAAATCCTGACTACCAAGGAGGCTGAGATACGAGGATAGAGGTTCAAAACAAGTCCAGGAAGGAAGGTCTATGAGACTGCTCAATTAACCAACAAAAAGCCCCAAGTGACTTAAGTGGTAGACGGATAACCTTAAGCAACCTTGTCCTTGAGTTCAAGCCCTAGGACCCTCACCAATAAATAAATAAATAAACAAATAAAGCAAATCTGGAAAGAAAGGAATGGAGAAGAGGGAAAAAAGGGGCTGGGAAGGTGGCTCAGTGGTAGAGCATTTGCCTTGCATGCCTGAGGCCCTGGGTTCGATTCCTCAGCACCACCTAAGCAAAAAGAAAAAAGCCGGAAGTGGTGCTGTGGCTCAAGTGGTAGAGCACTAGCCTTGAGCTGAAGAGCTGAGGGACAGCGCCCAGGCCCAGAGTTCAGGCCCAACTGGACCCAAAAAAAAAAAAGAGGGAAAGAAAAAGAGGGGGAGGAGGCCAATCAGGTAAATATCAGAGAAAAGCACTACATGGCAAGGGAGCAACCTGAGCAAAGGTATCCCACAGGGCTTAACTAATGGAAAAACTATGGCAGAAGCATACAAGAGATAGTGGTGGGTGGAAGGATGGATAATATTTTGATTAACACTTAAAACTGGTACAATTCTACTTAAAAAAAAACAACAACAAAAAACAAAAAAACAGCGCTACTTCACATATGTGTTTTTGGGTTTTTTTGTGTGTGTGGTTTTTTTTTTGCTGGTTGTGGGACCTGAACTCTGGGCCTGGACGCTGTCCCTCAGCTCTTCAGCTCAAGGCTAGCGCTCTACCACTTGAGCCATACCACCACTTCCGGCTTTTTTCTTTTTGCTTAGGTGGTGCTGAGGAATCGAACCCAGGGCCTCATGCATGCAAGGCAAGCTCTCTACCACTGAGCCACCTTCTCAGCCCCTGTGTTTTGGTTTGTTGGTTGGTGAGATTACTGTTTGTTTTCTAGTGGTGGTTATTTTTTGCAGTACTGAATAACGATTGAACACAAGACCACTAGAATGCTAGATAGGTACTCTACCTCTAGGCTACATCTTCAGTCCCTAGGATGCTTTTAAAGAACTACTAATACAGTAAACTAACTCCACACACACAAAAAAATTCAAATTAAAGCACGGAGTATATTCAAGTTATACTACCATTATAATAAAGTTTACATTTCACCTCCTCACCGACAATTTCTACAAGCAAGAGATTATAGCACCTCACAGGCTCCTAAAACATTCTCATCAACTATATTACCTTCCTAAATTTCCATAAAGGTGTTCAGAATCTACTTTGCACTCTTGTGATGGATAATTTCCACACTTTCAAATTATTTTTGCTGATAATACTCTCTCTGAGGCACTTCTGCTATAATAGTAGACCCTTGGTCCTTATGTTAAAGGCATAAACACTCTAGAATTTACTCCCACTTACAAGTAGAGGAAAAGCTTGGTTTATGAATTCACATGAACACTGACAATGAAGGTGTTTTATACTTGAAGTTAGGAGGTTAGTTCATCAAGAATTACATCCATGTTCTCAACTCCTAGGTCATAACCAAATATTTAACTTAAAAAAAATTTTATAGATGTCGGGGCTGGGAAGGTGGCTCAGTGGTACAGCGCTTGCCTTGCATGCTCAAGGCCCTGGGTTCGATTCCTCAGCACCACATAAACAAAAAGAAAAAAGCCGGAAGTGGCGCTGTGGCTCAAGTGGTAGAGTGCTAGCCTTGAGCTGAAGAGCTGAGGGACAGTGCCCAGGCCCAGAGTTCAGGCCCCACGACCGGACCCAAAAAAAAAAAAAAATTTATAGATGTGACTGAAAGAGTATAAACTATAAAGAAACCTATTTCTAAAAAGTTGTTTACTTAAGGAACTAATATAAAACTTAAAGGCTAGCAGTTAGTTTTCTGATTCTATAACTTGTGGCAGACAGTTTTATGGACACATGTGACTTTGGCATTTTGCCCATATTTATGTACACTGATGGGAGTGTAAGATGCTTTATTTTTTTAACACCTGAGGTGATAGATCAGGCCAGGCCTACTTCTCACCTGTGTGCTTACATGGTTAATTTCCCAGTCTCTTCCATGCAGATTCACATACTGGAAAGGGCCTGTATGATCATGAACAAGTGACAAGCCTTCTTAAAAACATACGTGACCTCTGTTCTGTAAACAGTATTAATAACCTGTGCAGGTTGTGATCTTTGTTTTCCAACATTCCCCCCTCATATGCCTATAAATACTCTGGAAATAGTTAATTATGTTTGGAAAACTCGATGACATTCCTTCTGTGACCACAAATAGGTCACAAAATCAGAACTAAAACTCATCACTCATAGCAAGCTAAAACCAAGGAAGAAAAGGTACCTAGATGGCAAAGGTACCTGTGACAAAGCAAAAATAAAAGTTCAAATGGAGGCTGGGAAGGTGGCTCAGTGGTAGAGTGTTTGCCTTGCATGCATGGGGCACTGGGTTCAATTCCTCAGTACCACATAAGCAGAAAAAGCCGGAAGTGGCGCTGTGGCTCAAGTGGTAGAGTGCTAGCCTTGAGCTGAAGAGCTGAGGGACAGCGCCCAGGCCCAGACTTCAGGCCCCACGACGGACAAAAAAAAAAAAAAAGCTCAAATGGTGTTACTATTCAGAAATAAGCTAGTAAATAAACTTCACATCCTAAGAACTTTTCGAGTATTTCTGAAAAACGACATGTGGTTCTTTTGATAACTGTTTAGGCTCCCTTCAATCACCATGTATTTCCCTAGTGTGCTAGACGTGTAGGAAATAGGGCCCTCCACATGCCTTAGGTAAATTCAACAGAATAATGTCACCTGAAAGTTAAAATCCCTGACTCCCATAAAGGACCTATCCCTATCCTTTGCACCCCAGATGTATCCTTTGAACCTCAAAGGTTCACAACCTCAATGTGAAAGCACCGAGGTCACTGCTCATCTGCTAGACTTAACAGCCGGCCAAATGCACCTGGTAAACTACAGAGTAGAAGCAAACTCATATGGGAAAAGTGCTGCAACTGTCACTCACATCTACTGAACCCGCCCCCACCCCAGTCCTCTTTATAAATAGAGGGATTTTTGAAGGGAACTGTCCAAGGTTACCACCTGATAGGGAGGAATGCCTGGGTGTGGGATAGCAATCAAATAAAACGGCGTATACGCTTAGGATTTACTGAGCGTTGTTATCCGAGACCCAAGCGGTTGACAAAGTGTTAAACCAGGTACATGAGACGTAAAATACGACCTCTTTCTCAACAGGATTAAAATGTCAAGAAGCAACTGACCGAAAGAGGGAGATCGCTAACTTCCCACAGTAGCAGCAACCTCCCTGGAAAGGTACTGGGACCAGCGCGGAGCTCACACAGATGGGCAGGACTGAAGTGGCCCCCTCCCCGATGGAAAAGTTTGTGCCGCCATCAGACCATCCTGCGGTGGTCGGAAACTTCCCTCAAACAACCAACGAGAACCAACCAGAACACCCTCAAGTCCCCGCCCTCGGCCAACCCCAGGTGCCTCCGTGCCAGGCGGTCGCCGGTCGCTTCCTCCGCGGGGCCTGGCCTCCCTCCCACCTGACTCCCTTCTGACATTCCCTGGCCTGCCTCAGGCCAGGTCCTGAGGTCTCGGGGTCCCCGAGGTGACCCGGCCTCGGGCTCGCCTGGCCTTGCACAAGGCCGGGGGCGCGCCTCGCGTCCCCAAGGCGGGCTGCGGACCCCGGCCCCCGCCCCGCCCCCGCCGCCGGCCCTCACCTCCTCGGCGTGTTTGCGCAGCGCCTTCTCCCGCTCGTACTGGGTGATGAGCTGCTCGTTGTCGTCCCGCAGCAGCTCCAGCTCCACCTGGTGCTCCTGGTCCTGGGCGAAGACCGAGTCCAGGTTCTCCAACACGGCCACCACCAGTGGCATCAGCTCCTTGACCACCTCTTCGTCGTACCGCCCAATGAGCCGCTCGAACTCGCGGTAGATGGAGCCAGCCAGGCCGGACACCCGCTCCGACATCACGGCCCCGGAGCCGCCGGGCTCCTCCTGATACACCACACCGTCCTCCAGCTCCATGGTGGCGGGCGGGCGGGCGGCCCGGGGGCGTCGCCGGCTGAGGAGCGGCACGGGCCCGCACGGGACCGGCCCGGCTGAGGCTGGGGCTGGGCCCGGCGGGGTAGGGTGGGAGGGGGGGGCCCGGGGCCTGAGAAGGGGAGGGGTGGGGTGAGCGCACTCACCCCAACCGCTGCTGCACCAACTGCCTGGGCGGCCGGGCCGCGCGCCGTACACGTCACCTGCGAGGCGGGGCCGGCGCCGCGTCGGCCCGGTGGGCGGGGCCCCGCGGGAGGCCAGGCGCGGCCGGGGGCGGGACGGGCGTCTGCGTGAGCGGGCTGAGGCAAAGCTGTGACGTCAACACCCGGCGCCGCGAGACGGGCGCGACGCCAAAGGGAAAGGCCGGGGGCTGCGGTGGGGGAGAAGTGTCAGCCGCGAGCTGGATTTTCTAGACGCTCCCAAAGGGAAGGGAGGGGCTCCAGGAGAGGGGCTGGCCGGCGGAGACTTGCTTCCCCCTCCCGCCCTTTCTGCTTTTCTACCCCTCTCTGAGCGCTTTCTCATTTAATCATCACAAAATAGGTGTGCGGTTGACTTTTGGCCCCCGTTTCCCTGACCTAGAAACTAGGCCTTAGAAAGTTGTGGTTCGCTCAAGGTCACGCAGCCAGAACCGGAAAGGCTCCGTCGAGATTCCAACCCATTCGGACTGAGAATTCCGGACTGGGAAAAATGAAAAGCAGAGGTGGGACGGAGGGGAAATAACTAGGAGACAGACTGACTGAAGGATTCATTAAAGACGTTCTCAAGTAAGACCACCGTGACCCGAGTTAGCCTCAAAACAGGAAGTGCGGAAGAGATCTGGAGAGGAAGACGGTAACGCCTGCCACATCTTGCATTTTCCCAAACACTGGGGTGGGTTTCCTGGCTCCCAGAAAACTTGACACTAGCAAATTCCAGGCTGCAGACTCCCGCCCCTATCCTGTCTTCTCTTGGAAGGGAGGCGGAGCGGGTAAGTGGAAAGTTGAGAAGTTGGAGAGGAAAGGGGTGGAGTCGGTAGGATGAATAAGTCCCGTGATACGTGTGAGATCTTCCGTGCTTGGGAATGCGTAGTCACGTGTGGGGAATGTCTCAACACTCCAGTTTAGGGCGCGATGAGTCAAAGATCACTTCCCAGTGTTTTCCAAGGGGGGCGATGACACTCAAAAGCCCCTTCCTTATTCCCTAGGTGACTCATCATCTAAGGTTTTCCCGGCCTCAGCTCATGTAAGTGCCGTGAGAAGGAAGCAGCATTTGGATAAGAGATTAAAGATGAAATCGCCCTTCTCTTGTGATCCTAAATACCCTCAGCTTGATGTTTGTATGCCCAAGTTTGTCTCTCAAAGTTTTCCTCTCTTGACCTTCCTGGAAAAACAAAAAAACAAAAAACAGTACAGAGATAAACTGAGTTTGCGCCGATGCTGTCATCACATACACCCTTACTTTGTGTGTAAGCCTGCTCTATGGAATGCTAACCACATGGCTTGGAGGTGTGGCTCACATGATTGAATGCCAGCCTACCAAACCCGAGTTTCAAAACCTACTACTGCATGCCAAATAATAATGATTATAACAATAATAATACTTAGGAATGTTGAATAGCTGGTTGGATATGAGCCCCAAATGTCCCTTTCTTTTTTTTTTTTTTTTGCCAATCCTGGGGCTTGAACTCAACCTGGGCACTTTCCCTGTGCTGCTTCTGCTTAAGGCTAGCACTCTACCACTTGAACCACAGAGCTACTTCTGTCTTTTTCTGTGTATATGGTATTGAGGAATCGAACCCAGGGCTTCATGCATGCTAGACAAGCACTCTACTATTAAGCCACATTCCCAGCCTACAGCTAGGCTTTTGATGGCTGTACGGAGATGGAGTTTGTGGACTTTTCTGCTCAGTCTGACGTCAAACTCTGGTTCTCACATCTCAACCTCCTGAGTAGCTAGGAATTCAGGCATGAGTAATTGGAACCTGATTCTTTATACTTCCTAAACTCACCTCTGAAAACTGGAAAAGGTCTTGCTCTGCATTGCTTTTGATTTCCCGAATTGTCATGCAGGCAATCAATTTATATAGGTGCTTCTTTTCTGAAGAGCAAAAAAATTTATACAAAGCTTTACTTTGTCTTTCCACAATTATTATACACATCAGAAAATTTAAAGAAAAAACATCTTATTGACTTTCACATATAAGGTTATAATGTCTTCTTAATAAATATGCTTCTTGAAGGTATGATATATATCATACCTATAGCATACTTATATATGTATACATACATGTGCACATATACATTATATGTATATATGTACACATATATATAGAAAGAGAGAGAGAGAATGAGTCTTGAGTTTAAGCTTCTGGTACCTACTATTTTTTGGGGGAGGGTCCAGTCGTGGGGCCTGAATTCTGGGCCTGGGCGCTGTCCCTCAGCTCTTCAGCTCAAGGCTAGCACTCTACTACTTAAGCCACAGCACCACTTCCCGCTTTTTTCTTTTTGCTTATGTGGTGCTGAGGAATTGAACCCAGGGCTTCATGCATGCAAGGCAAGCGCTCTACCACTGAGCTGCCTTCCCAGCCCTGGTACCTACTAAAGATCACATTGTTACCAGAAACTTGGGGCAGCAAAGTTGACCTTGATCCTTGTTCTGACAAGAGAAGTATTCAGGCAAGATGTGAACATAATATATATGATAGGAAGTTTACTAGAAAAGAAATATGGCATAGTCAGGTGCTGGTGACTCACTCCTGGAATCCCAGCTATTCAGGAGGCTGAGATCTGAGGATCACCATTCAAAGCCAGCCTGGGCAGGAAAGCCCATGAGATTCTTATTCCCAATAAACCACCAGAAAACTGGAAGTGGTGCTGTGACTCAAGTGGTAGAGTGCTAGCCTTGAGCTGAAGAGCTGAGGGACAGCTCCCAAGCCTAGAGTTCAAGGCCCACGACCAACAACAACAAAAAAAGAGCTGGGTGCCAGTGGCTCACACCTATAATCCTAGCTACTCAGGAGGCCGAGAAATGAGAATTGCAGTTCAAAGCCATCCTGGGCAAGAAACTCCATGAGACTCTTATCTCCAATAAACCACTAGAAAACCGGAAGTGACCTATGGCTCAAGCGGTAGAGCTCAGGGATAGCTCCCAAGCCCAGAGTTCAAGCCTCATGACCAACAAAAAAGAAAGAAAGAAAGAAATATGGCAGAGAAAGAGAGCACATGGCATAAACATGCCACAGGAAGACAGCACTTCCTCCCATTTCAGCTACCTTGAATTGTCTTTCTCTTGACCTTGGGTTACATAGAGAGAATTGAAGTCCTTGAAGATGCTTCTAATTGATGACATCTTATGTTTCCTGTAAGGTCCTGGCACCAAAGATTTAGTACTTATTGCACTATACTTGACTTCTCATTCTTTTGTCCTTCCTACTACCTCATTCTTTCATTCTTTTGTTGCCCTGCTCTATTTTGTTGTTGGGAAGACTTTTGTTTTTCAGCTTCTGCTATCTGCAAGTTGTATAGGCTGCAATTACTTGACTATCTTCCTTTCTACTAACTCATACCAACATCTGACTATTTAAAATAAAATTCAGGTTAGATATGGTAGTACTGTGATCCCAGTGCTCAAGAGGCCAAGGAAGAGAAATGTCAAATTGAAGGCCAACTTTAAAAAAAAAATTATATTTTTATTGAAGTGGATGTACAAAGAGGTTACCATTCAAGGTCAAATTTATATAAAAAATAAATGAATTAAATCTCTATCAACTGATGAACAGCTAAATAAAATGTGTCACATACATATAATGAAATAATTTTCAGCAATAAAGAGAAGATATGTCCAGCAATACTAGTGAACCTTGAAAATATATTCTAAGTGAGAATGCTAGTCATAAGAGGGTCACATACTATATATGGTTCCATTCATATGAAATGTCCAGAATAGCCAGTCTATAGAGACAACTAAATTAGTGGTTGCCTAGAGTTAGGGAGCCATAGGGCAGAGGATGATGAAAATAGGAGTGACTGCTAATGGGTATGAAATTTCTTTTCAGAGCACCAAGCATACTCTAAAATTGAAGTGGCAATACAGATCTCGGTCATATACTAAAAGACATTAAACTTTATACTGTGAACTGTATCTCAAGCTGTTGAAAATAAGTGTAATTAAATATTTGGCTGTGGTGGGGGGGAGATGGGAAGGGCTGGGAAGGGGAAACAAAGGAGGAGGCAACAATGCTTGATAAGAAATGTACTCATTACCTTGCCCATGTAATTGTAACCCCTCTGTATGGTATTTTCACAATAAAAAAATAAATATTTGGCTGCAATAAAAAGTAGATGCAATGAAGTACAAAACTTCCTTGTGGGGGTTGGGAAGGTGGCTCAGTGGTAGAATGCTTGCCTTGCATGCTCGAGGCTCTGGGTTCAATTCCTCAGCACCACATAAGCAGAAAGAAAAAAGCCGGAAGTGGCGCTGTGGCTCCAAGTGGTAGAGCGCTAGCCTTGAGCTGAAGAGCTGAGGGACAGCGCCCAGGCCCAGAGTTCAGGCCCCACGACCGGACCAAAAAAAAAAACTTCCTTGTGGTAGTAGAAAGAAAATGGTTTTGAAGTTCAAAACTTCGTGTTAGAGCTGATCATTAGGCCATAAATACAACCAAATAGATACTGAGTACCTACCGAGTGCTGTTCACTGCAGTAAGGACTCCTGAACTTTTGGTTTCTCCATCTGTGAGAAAATTGATAAATACTTCCTTCCACTGTAAGGTCCTAGTTCTCCTTCATAGGTAGAGGTAACAGAAGTTCTGGACTTCAAACTAAGTCCCTTTAGTCATTTCCTAATTATGTAGGCAATAATATGCTTCCTATAATCAACTGGCTGAATAGATTCCCAGCACCAACCTCTAATTCCCACAAACACTAAGATTATCATTAAAGACTAGGATTTATCAAGGCAAAGAAGGTCACATTGTGGACTTTGAAGTGTTTACTTTTGATTCCTAAGGGGAAGGAAATTCCATTTCAAGAGATTCCTTGTCCTGGAAAAAATAGTGTGGACAGTATTGGGGGCAGTAGGAGGGAGGAGTTGATGAAGGCAGGAAGGGAGGAGTTTCTTCCTAAGCATAATAACTATAATCACTGGAAGTCTGAAATTACTAGTCCTGACCAGCCTTCTAGAACTATGAACAG